AGAATTGATTCCATGTGACAAATGTATTATGCAACTGATATGATCTAATATGTTAAGGTGTGAAAACTTACCAATTTAAAATAATAACAGTAACAACAAGCTTTTGAAAATTAAATAAGAAAAAATAAGTTCAGCAAAGAGTTCTCTTTTCGGCGAATCCATTTTCAAAGCTGTACAATCGTAGATATATATACTTATATTTTACAGGATGATAATAATACCGATAATGAGCTTCTGTTAGACATGGTGACAGTGAGGTTAATTATAAACAAAGGTATTAAAAAAATTTTATAAAGCAAGGAAAGTTATTCCATGTTATGAAAGAATTTCTATTCCAACTCCATATATGATCGATATATTACACTAAGATTTTCGAATATATATCTTATAAGTCACAACTAAATATAATCTTCAACAGTTCCATACTATGATGAAACAACCGTCCAGTTCTTCCAGATTTTCAATAGTGATCTAACACTGATCCGTTCATGATATCAATCTAAATTCAATAATCTCTACAACCCTATACTGATAGTTCTTCAGTCATTTAAAAAAAACTACCATCATATTAATCGGGTTTCTAGAAAAAAATTTCATTAAATTGCTCAAAAGTCAATATTCGGCTGTTATGAACACTTTCCAGCGTAGAAACATCACTAGTATTCACTGCTTTCAGTTATTTAATATCATTCTCAAACCAGTGATCATTACTTACATAAACTAGTTTGATTTTCCTGAAGTGCTACTTTTAAGGATTTTACTCCACTTTATCTAAAGTGATAAACACAAGCTGGTAGTTTTTGTACGATACAAGTTCCAACTACCATACATGACATAAAGTCATAAGTCCTTTTACGATGATTTATTTAAAATCCTTGATTTTAATCCATCAGAATACTTTCCAAAAAATTATAACGACTACAAGAAATAAACAACCTTATGATTGAATTAATTAACAAAACCTCATATTTATGATCCAGCAATGTAAATCACAGTGTTGTGTCGAATAAGCTAATAAGTAAAAATCAATTTCTTATAGTTTGATATAAAGAAAAACCAAAAACGAATTTGTTCATTTAGTTTTGAGTACATCACATTTAAGTAAACTCAAGAAGTATCAGTCCTAATGTCTGATGATGACATCTTAAGATGATGATCTATTAAGTCGTAAAATAAGAAAAAGAAACATTGTGGGATACAGAGAATTCGTTTCATTTATTTATGCTCTAAATCTTCTGCATACTTTTTACAACCACTATGTTTATAAATGAAACTATTGTAAGGACCTTATAAAGTGTGACTCAGTTTATTAATAAAACTAATCATCATCGTCAACCTCATCACTATTTTCTATACTCATAAAGGGTTAATTCATACAGCGATAGAACTAATGACATAATCATTTACAGATATTATTTGTAAATACGGTAGACGAAATGACATAATTACTAGTATTTACAAAAATAAAGATGTCAGTTGTTGTGTAGAGGACCCAGAAAAGACAAGATTAAATAAATAAGCATTATCCCACAACTTAAATAATCATATATTCTTTTTTCTTTTCATCGTTGTATCAGGATTTGTAATGGAAATTTAGACAGGCAATCTGTAGAGACTTGTTTGACCTAAATATAACTTTTCTTCGTTGAATAGTATATACTGGAGAGCCACTGAAAATTATAGAATGGTGAATACTTGTTTCTTTTTAGTTTAACATTTCTTTGGGTTATGGGTGATAACTATTTTACTTGTGGCATGGTTTAACTGTACAGATCCCAACCTGTTATTAATACCTTGGAAACGCACTCCAAAGATAATCACCAGTGAGTACATGATTTTGTGTAGATCTCTTATTGTGTAATAAAAATATTTCCACGTAGTATACATCACACTCTTTTAACTATATTTTTGCATAACTACTGCTTACTTAATGATTCTAATGAAGAACCAGCTTTGTACTGAGAGAGGGAAAGTTAACCATAAGTAATTATTCATTTAGGAAATGATGAAAATTGTCATTTAGATTTAAATTGCTATGTCAGATTATAAAATGAAGTATGCCAGACAAATTTTTAGATATTAGACGAAGAAATAACTAAAGTCATTTACAACCTCAACAAAAAAGAGGTTACGAGGAAACACTATAAAAGAAATCATCTGTTATGTTTAGAAACCCTTAATCAAATTCTAACTAGAAATAGATTATCTAGTAAACGTTTGACTGAAGTATAGTGAAATGTATGTTAATCATCTAATTTGTAAACTTGAATTGGTTTAATCTTGAGTAATAAGAGGGATTTATAACTTAAATCAATGGACTCAACCAATTAACTTTATCAGTATAGGATTACAGAGATTGTTGACTTTCATTAAAATCACAAACCGATCGAAGTTAGACACCCATTCAAAACCTGGAAGCATTAAACGGCCCTTTCGTTCTAGTATGAAAATCCTTTGTTATTTAATCGTTATTGCTTCATTGTCATAGTGGATGACTCAATTAACATTTATTTTGCCAACTATTACGTTCTATTGACATGTGCTACAGACGTCTTCAGTATAAATTTCAACCGAGATTAATTTTCAGCAAACTGGAAAATAAATTTTTATTTCAAAGTTTACCAGAGCAGTCATTCAATGATGCTTCGGGTTTTCATTTAAGTTTGAATGAACTATTAAAATGACTTACTGTTAGACAAGTTCATTGTAATCTAAAAGTTATTATACCAGAAATTACTATACAAATCTGCATTTTTTTAATGAAACAATCTAATCCCTTATCTAATCATGTTAAAATCTATATCTTATCAATTGTTGACGTGGTACTAAACAATTTATGGTAAAAACCAGTTCCCATGTTGTTTCCCTTCACGTATTTACTGAATATTGGCAAAATAATTTAATCTGTGACGTGTGACAACGAATTAAGCCTGTTTAAATGGTTATTGATAACTAGTCTCTGGTAAAATTAGTGAATGATTCAATATTCAGTGGTTTTTAAATGGCTTTCTTGCTTATGTTTGATCAAAATAAAAAAAATTAAACTAAATTTGATTCGAAAGTGTTCATACCTTTAAAGTAATGAAAGTTAGTGGAACTAGACTAACCTAAGAGTAGTAGTCATGGAATATGAGCAAAGACCTTCGGGGGGTGCTATGGTCTGTAATCGATAACAGTGGTATTCACTCATTACTTCGATAGTGAATTCTGATTTTCGTAATAACTGGATATAGAATACACAAAAGAGATATTAAAGATAAAGTCATCTCCGTAACGATCTTGAACAGTGGAATATATTTATGAATTAAATATTTCCAACGTATTACTCGAAAGTCTAACACGAGGTTCTTCAAGAAAATAATCGATCGTACACTGTTAATGTCTATAATTGTGTTCAAATGAATGCATGATAAGTGAATAATTTTCCTCGTTTTATTTATTTATAAATATATCATTCCCATGATACCACTAACTGTATTCAGTTTAGTTTATTGAAAGGGCTCAAGTTCCTTCATTAATTACAAGTTAACCTTTCTCTCAGAAGTCACTGAACCCAAGTATAGTTATCGAATGTAGATAAGCATTACAAACACATTTACATGGTACCACATGACTCATATTCACATCCCAAATTAAATTCAATACGTGAAAACAACTTGATATTTGTTCAAAAAATTGTTTATGTTACAACTTTATTTTCGAGTATTTTGATGGTGATTACTTCATTGAAGAACCACGAACTGGACTGGCGGTGGAAACATTGTAATTTTTGTTATTCAATTTCCTAGATCTTTGCATACATCATTTTATGTCTAATCATAGAGCCTTATTTTTGTGACTGTTCGTAAATGTTATGACAAAAGTACCCATAAAATCCTAAAAGCATTTAAAATAATTGATAGGCAAAGTGTACCACTTTTACTCCATTTTGCAGAGGTCATTACCATCAAGAGCTTTCGACCTGGCCTATGTATACAGAAAGAGTGGTAAACCTACCACTGCCATGATAAGATAGTCATATTATTTTAACGTTTGTTATTTAAATTTTCTTTTAATTAGAGTTTAGAACTCAAAGTAATAATCCCATTGATATTCACCGATGAAGTTGGCTTTAATTTTATGTTAATTAGGTGCCTTGTTTATCACTCATTTGTTTTTACTCATCGTCTCCTTATTATCGTTTAAAACTTCATTCATTTCTCCATTGTTATGATTTCATCCTCAACATACAAGTATTAATCAGTCTTAACTATTATGTCAAATATGTTATTCCCTTTTGTTTCTTAAATTATTTCGAACTTAACTTCATTGATTATAATATTGAAGTAAATTAAGACAGTTTACATCTGATGAGAAGCCTCAAAATGTAATAAATTCACTGTACTCAGCAAATTTTGTCCTCCTCATTTTTTAAAAATTGATCAGGATGCATGAAATGACAAATCTTTTCTAAGACAACTCATTAACTGAGAAGAATGATAAGTCGACAGGGACACACAATTCATGTCAATGACAGTATTTTTATTTGCCTATTGTCATACCCAACTATAAAGATGATTACAATAATAAAATTGTGACAAAGTATTTTGATATACTTGACTTGTTCGAACTATACAACCAAGGTTACTACTCATTCATCACATCTTTAATCGTTATGTTGAAGAAATCCAATTTTCTCTGAACTTCTAGATAAACTTTACCTTAGAGTTTAAGACCTGTATCTTGTAAATTGTTTTCAACTACTCATCTTTAACAACAGTATACGCTAATGTTATTGTCATTGAACATTTATGGCTAGATTATAAACCTAATACATAGTATACATTCAGTAAGTGATACTCAGTTATATGTTAAGAGTTAACTAATTACAAATTAATACAATCTAGATATATAAGATTCGACAATATTAAATGACAGTCGATAACTTAGAAATAATATCAATGGAACTGCAGATTTATATCACAAGTTATCAAAATATCAAAATCTTCATATTGACTTACCATATGTTTGTTGAACAACATCCATTTCTTTTAAATTCAATATTAATATTCTCTTTTTTATATGTAGATCTAGATTTAGACTATTAACCAACTAAACATTTGTTATTCAATGATATTCTAAGTTATATGATTACGTCGTGTGATACTACTAATGAAGATGACGGTATGTATTGTTAATAAATTTCGAATATTTAGAAAAGTAATTTAAGTGAAAATTTGTATAGATTTATATGTACGTGTATATGTGTATGCTTAGTTGGTTTTTTGGAGAAACTCCAAAAATTAATGAAGATTGGTCATCATTAATATCATTATAAAGTCATTATTGTTAGAATAATACTACTCACTGTTTGTCTGGTCATCTCAATGATTCTGTCTCTTCTACACACATAAAAGCACATATATACTTATGCACAGATTTTTATTTAGTATTGACTTCTCCCTTTAAAGTTTTATATTGTTTATTGTTACTAATACTAAATATAGTGGTTTTGGCCTCGTAATATATGTTACTTTTTTTCTAACATGATGGTTAACAGTGAATTTCAAGGTACAAAATGAGGGGGGGGAGGCAAACAGAACGTATAAATTAGATTACTAAATACAATATATATATGTGTGTATGACAGTTGACAAGTAATTTTTTCTGTCATTTGTTGTTACAAGTCTACATAACACAGCTTACAAAAGAGTTTGATGATAAACACAGTCAAGACATGAGCCAATAAATGTGAGAAGCGATGTATACACGTGCAATAATAAACTCTATAGTTTTTGTTTGTTTATCATTCTCACAAGTTAGTTAGTATTAGTGACAAAGGCAACTTTTCTTTATGAGCATTTCAATGATGTGGTTTTTCTGCTCTTCCTTCCAATTCAGCCTATTGCCTTTAATGACAAAAATTCTTACATGCTCACACGTATACACTAACATACGATAGATAATTTGTGTACATTTAATAGGCTAACTAACATAGATGAATATATACATATACATTAGCGAGTTGTTTATCCTATCATCAAAGCTCATTCATCTGTTTCGCTTACTACCTTCTTTCAAGGATGTTTATTCTCAAATCAGAAATTTTTGAGAAATTTTTACTATCCATTTTCTTTGTTTATATGTATATGGATGTTGCTCAACGATATTTTTAGACTGAATTCAAACCTTAGGGTGAAAACACGTGTGTTTTCCTTCCATAAAGTAATAATGTATACTGCTGGTCACGTGTTACATAGATATGTTTATAAACGTTCAATGCGTTCATGTTTAACCATAGGTTTACATCACGATCTGGGATAAGCTGAAAAACAATTGAAAATCAATTACAACTGAACAGCACTTTGGTTTTAATCCAATACTACTCTGTGATGGAGCAAAGTTATAGAACCGATATAGGATTGAACACAATCGATTACTTCATGAACTGATTCCACATCTTTATCGTTTTCAACCCTGATATTGATCTCATGAAAATATATGAAAACAAGACAGAATATATTTGACAATTTATCATGAATTCTTAAAGGAACATCAACTAGTATTTCCAATCTCATGTATTAAGTCTCATAAATACATTTAACCAGAGCAAAGTAGATGGAATCTGATATTTTGGTTTGAAATATGAATATTTTTTGGATTCGAAATTTGTTTGGATCAAGGTAATATTAAATTCGTTTGAAGAAAATCCATTTCTGTTCAAATACTTAAAGATCCGAAATATCGATCAATAGGGGAAAGTATTTTCGTCATTAGGGTATGAAATAAACTATCGTCTACAATAAACAGTATGAAGTTAAGTTCCATACTAAGGAAATTGTCATTACAGAACTAATAATCTCCAGAATAACCTTTCGTTTTTCTTTAAGTTACCTTGAAAAACTTTGAATATTGTCGAATTTAGTAACAAGTAAAAACAAATATAGAATGGAAAAATTTGTCTTCAATTCCCTTTAAACTAACAGATTATAGTTAGATACTGTTTGAAAAGTTATCTCTTATGGTGACATACGAGTCTATGAAATGAATAATATCGGCCTAACTTGATCATTACAATATCATGTCGGTTACTCAACATTTAGTTATCATATAAATGAAACCATTTGTAAACAATGTTAAGATATGAAAAGTAGTACCATTTGAAAGTCATTATATTTATTTTCGTTCATGCAATAAAATATGAATTTACTTGTCATCACAAATGAACATAAACTGATGAATCATTGAAAACCTAGAGGTTGAATGATGTGTAATATTGTTAGTGTACACTGTTTAAATGCTACGATACGGTTACCATCCATTGTTCACTACTTTTGACTGATAGTTTATTTGATGTTGATTCATAGTGAAAGCTACGTTCAACGATACAAAATATTCCACAGAACTTCATAGAAATGATAAAATATGTGTAAAGATTTTGTTTTTCTTTTCAGTACATAACTATTCATCACCCGTGACAAAAAAGGTGGCAATAAAAACCGTAAAAGTAATTAAATATGAAAATATCTTTTCCAAACTGATTTAAATATTCAACTTTTAAAGTCTGTGTAATAAGTTTAACTTCAGCCTTACTGATTTCTTTTAACAAACCCTACTTATAACCCATGAAGTTATGTAATTTGTGTCACTAAAAGCCTAGTAGATTAATTTGCTCTTGTTTATTGTTATCATTATCACTCGAAGATTAAAACCTGGTAAATTAGATGGAGGGGTTTATATGATGAATAATATATCTAACCCCTGATCGAACGTTATTCACAATCCTTATATATAATAATAAAACTAATCAATTTTAATGAATTTTTTAAAAGATATTTTTGTATATTTCAAAATTGGTCTTTTAATGACCTGATATTAGTTGGGTAAACCATTCAAACTTAGCAATCACTAAGCAAGTGATTCGTTTTCTAGTTTGAGATTCTTCAATTGAACACAATTATCATTCTACCTAAAATCTAACCCATGTACTTAAAAAACGAACAGTTATGAAAAGGAGTGAAAAATAGTGGGCAGTTGGTTCAATCAAGTGTCTTAAATAACACACTTAATAATGTCATCTTAGATCGGGAATTGACTGAGGTGGAAATTTAAACCAGTACACTCCAATTTAGTAATATGAAGTCAAAGAGTTTACAACAGCTTAGTTTACTCTTGATCCAGTCACTCACGATGCGCTTTGTTGAGGAATGTCGAAATCGGAGGAAAATGTCGTCCGGCTTTCTCTGGTTTTCACTAGTTATTTGACTGAATTCACTTAACCATGGTTTATTATTAAGTGTCAAAAAATATCATGATTTTCCAGTCATTGACAGTGACAGATTTATATTTCATTGAGGCTAAGTGACTCGAATCCACCAGAGAGCATCAGCTACCACAAGCGTCAAATTAGCCTTTACTGACGAACACCACATAGCGCAGAACTACCTCCAACCATCTAATATAAAGTCACAAATAGTAATGATCTCCAGAATAAATAAACAGAGACTTTCGACAATTCAACAATCCAATCGTTCCCACACATATCGCACAGATACTCAGTAAGTAAGGGGAATAAATGTAAACTATTCACTATAAACAAAATATTCATCTGATTAAGGCCGTCACCCATATATCCGTCTATTTGTATTACCCATTACTTATTTACACTTTTACTTTACCTAGGCAATTGATTTACTTACATTCACTCTCAAAGTCTTATTACTCCACATAAGGGTTGAGCAAGCGTTTGGAAATGTATATTGTGAACTTATCAAACTTAAGTCAACAACAACAGTGATAAAATCTAATCACTGTGAGAAATGTTATAAATTCATCGTCTAATCTCTAGAAAATTCATTTGATGCTCAAATCTAAGAAATTAACCGAGGAAGATATCAATTTTAAAAGAATATTATTGCAGCCTTTTTCTCTTTCTTGAAGGGAACAAAAAACATTTAAAGGGGAAATTAATCTCAGTCTATCATTTTAGAGTGAAAGGCAAATTAGAAAGAAGAAGAAATAGTAGTAGTAGTAGTAGTAGTAGTAATAGTAGTAGCGTAAGATAAGTCAGCAATAACGAAAAAACAATAAATTACGCGCAAAATAACGTTCAATTAAAGAAGTTATGGATAAGAGTGATAGAGAAACAGGACACATTGATTTTCTTTAAGACGTTATGTTTATTATCTCTACCGTTTTATACCATAACGGATAATAGTATGATTGGTTATTTTGTTAATAAAACGAAAAAAACACAAAACAACAAAGAATAAGAAATTAAGAAAGAAGAAAGTGATTTCCTTAAGAAGTGAATTTTTTCTTTCTCTTAATTTTGAAATTATTTCTTACTACTTTTATCTACGCATTTTATAGCGACCTATTTTACATTAAATATAATTAACTTTTTTGGTTAGTATTATTTCGTATAGGAAATGGAAGGTTTGCAGAGATTGTTAAATTCTGTAGTTTATATCACGAAGTGAACTTAGCTAGACAACCTATAAAAAATAGAAGGCACTGAACATAAATTTCATCTTGGTATGGAACTCTCCGAAAGTATGCTTCCATGTCCTCAATAGGCATTAAATCCAGGATCTCCAGGTTTTATGATAAGCGCTCAAATTTTCTACAAGTGAGTCGACTTTCAGTGATCTACATATTTAGTCTCAGTTAGCTCATGTTATCGGGATTGGTAGTCAACTACTTCTCACACGACAGAAATGAACCCCACTGGTTCTAACTTCTCACTAGAACTCCATGAACCACCAATCTAATTAATTCGCTATTGGGTACATGATTGAATTAATAGAAGCAGAAAGAGAAGAGTCTGTAAGTATATTATGAATATATTATTTTATTGAGATTTGTAAACTGTTTCATTGAAAAAATCAAAAAACGTCTTATAACCAGCGGATGTTTCGTCCTTAGCCTAGGTTACTTCATCAATAAAAATAGAATAAAGAAGTTTGACAAACTACCTATTTATACACAAATGGACAGATAGAGAAATCATTTTCACTGACTAAAACAACAAGTTATCTAATGAT